AAGGCAATAACTGGACAGTCAAATAACGCACTCTTCCCAAAGTGAGGAGAAGGTTGAAGGCAGTCACAGAGACACACCCGAGAAATAGAGGGATGTAAGCAGCGAATTCAATAATCATTGAGTGGTGGAGTAGGTGGGGAGATCCAAGGTTACCAGGACCGAGCGACAGATTCACGAAAATTACCTTTAATAGCCAAACCCACTTGAAGCACATGGATATGCATGGTGTAAATGGTCTTGCGCTCTTAGACTCTAGGTCTTAAGCAACATGGTATGATTTATATAAGAATCATGAATTACCAGATGCATAATAAGAAGATATTATGCGTTTGCTCCGCCCAGGGTTGGATTCCCTTCCGATTTCTTCTTTCTTACCGCGGCAAGTAGGAAAATCTCAAGACCGATCATTTACCTCAGTCCCCAGGATCTGGAAACTGTGTAGGTAGCAAACCAAGTCCAAGACTCCCAAAAGTCCACCGTAAGTTCCTCCACCCTCGTCATCCATCTTCATCGTTCCCCTCCTCTTCCGTCGACTATCCATCCTTCTTCCCCTTCGCATCATCCTCTTGCAATTTTGCTTTTATTCATCCTTTTCTTTGATTCATCACCTGAATCCTTCCCCCCTCCTCCTCCTAACTCATCCTGCGCTTAGACTGGCTGTCCGGGGTTTCCCCTCATCCTCTTATATTTCTTTTTTTGACTCATTCTTTCTTTTTTTCTTTGTCTTGCTTGCCCTCCACCGTTTTTATCCGTATACCTTAATTCTGCTTTGACCATGTGTGTCTGAAGGGTCTAGCCTCCTGCCTCTAGGCTATTACATGCAAGAATCACAAGAGAACAAATCTTCTGATCCTCATAGACCAATCGGGGGACAGTTGGCCAAGAAGGAAGAAGAATCATAGGAGGGCAAAAGTACTTTGCGCTTGATCAAGGTAAGCGGCTGCTTATTGAGCACTGATGCTTTTCTTGCAATATCGCTTGTTCTTTTTTGCTTTTTCTTTTTCCGAAAACCCATCCATCGTTCGGACCTCAGGACTTTTGTTCCTTCATTCCCAATGGCGTAGCTTGTCTTACTCATATTACCACCCTTAGGTACTACGACTAGTTCCGTCCATCCATCTGCACCCAGGCCGCCGCCGCTGCTCGTTCCAACGAACAACCCTCATACTGCGTCCTCGTCGACCAGACCCTAGCCAAATAAAGCACTAATCGGCTTTTCTGCACCTAAAATACCTAGCAGCCGATCGACAAATCAATACCTTCGACGAGGGTTTCGGGTCTCGTCGTTTACGGCGGGTAGAGTGGAATTGCTCGTGCTTCATCCAATCGACCACACGCACAATTATTCCCCCCTCCCCTCCGTGCGTTCGCCCTGTCCTCCTCCGATTGCTTCCCTGGGACCTCGCAGCTCTCTCTCTTATCTCTCGCGCTCTCTTCGTCCACAGTGCTATCTATTTCCCTACTCTGCCTGCTTATCTTTTCCTCGCTTTGCATTCCTTTTCCAATAAGAAGACGACAGGGTGCATTGTAACCCTGCCACGACGGGATAATGTCGGGGATGAGCCATGGAGGAGCGCCTAGAGCAGCGCGACCGACTCCATCCGCTGCCTCCACCTCCTCTGGTTACGACATCACCGACGCTGACCGATCATCCTCTTCCCATTTCCATCACACCTCCCAGTTGTCCGATGATTTCTCCCTTGGTTCTCCCATCAGTCCACCCGACTCCGCTCATGTCCAGGACGGTTTGCTCCAGGACTCTCTCTTTCCCGAGTGGAGGAACGCTGCTCCCCGGCATGGGGTCGAAAGCCCAGATGAGATGCAACGGAAGGATCCACTGGCTACTCAGATATGGAAGCTCTATTCTAGAACAAAAGCTCAATTACCCAACCAGGAGCGCATGGAAAATCTGACGTGGCGCATGATGGCTATGAGTTTGAAACGGAAGGAACGTGAAAGGCTCCAGCAGAATCGGTATGTTTCTGATGATTCAGATGTTTGGACAATAGCGTTGTTTTGAAGTCATGGTGAACTTACCTTATTCTCTTTTCCGATATAGCCCTTCGATGCAGAAGACTGGCAGCTCGGGGCCGAGCGGTATTGCCCAACTTCGTCAGTTCGACCACCCTTCCTTTGCGCGGCCATCAACATCCACCGATCTTGCCTCCGACCCCATGAACATCGACGACTTCGTCGTTCCTATCGAGTCGCCTGCCGATCGCCCTCGGTCACCTCCAACTGATAAAGGGGCCACCTCATCCATGGCGATCCCCATCAAGTCTCGCAAGGACCACTCGGACGCATCCACTCCCGTGCCAGCCTCCTTCCCTCACCCACCTCAAGACCAGCGTAGAAACAACGAGTTTGGCTATGTGCCCCGCCGCGTGCGCAAGACGAGCATCGATGAGCGTCAATTCTTCAATCTCCAGATTCCCACTCGGAAGCGGCCAGCCGAGTCCTCTCCGCAGGTGCCGCCCGTGACGAACGCCATGCTGGCTCAGGATCCCCATTTGTCGGCCGGCGTTCCTGATTATACCCTTGATAACGCGTCCTCTGGATTTGCTCTCCACCATAACACTCAAAACCACCACAACAACAATAACCTCACGTCCCCTGGTGTCCCCTTTGGCTTGGACACTTTCAACTTGGGCGAAGATCCGATTCTTTCGTCGGCCGGGCCTTACCAGGCGCACTTTACTTTCTCTCCCAGCGACTCTCCTATGGCGTCGGCCAACCCGTTTGCGAACCTATATGCGCAGACCCCGATTGCTTCATCGCTGAATTCGACCGAATTCTTTTCACCTCCCGCGTCGGCGTACCAGTCCTCCGTATCGACACCTCAGCCCACATACGACGGAGATCACTCCATGTATTTTGATATGCCTTCGATTGACGCTCGGACTCAACGGCGTATCCCCAACTACGTTACCCACCGTTCGAACTTGTCCGCTTCGCTGCAGCCGCGGTACATGTTTAACAACACTACCAGTAGCGAGCAACAGCACGGGATGACTATCGCCAGCAACCCGTCCTCCGCTGTTCCTTCCCCTGGCTATACTATCCCCCAGTCGCAGCATGTCGACCCGACGCAGGTGTTAAACGCGAGCGATTTCCCTACGTCAAACTCTCATGCCGGCATATTCTCGTTCGGTGCGGATTCTGACAACGAAGACGATGATGGTAACAACTACTCCGAACGCGCTGGCCTGGCTATGCCCGCGGACTTTGGTGATGACAACGCCGGCGACATAAACGGCTTACACTGGGACGGTCAGTTCCCTGGGTCTTTCCACTCGCTGTCTGGATTCAGCGCGCAGCACCGGAAACATGTCACGATCGGCTCGGCAGACATGATGGACACTCCCAGTGAGTGGAACCAAGGCGGCAGTCTTGGCCGCACACACGGATCCGCTGCTTCGGTCAGTGAAGTCCGCAACCGCGACCAGGACCCTCGTCGCCAGAAGATTGCTCGCACCACGTCGACCCCGAACACCAACCAGCTGCTACGCCAGAGCATGAACAATTCTTCCCACACATCGCCGAACACCCCTCCAGAATCGGGACTCAGCAGTGCTGTTCCGTCCCGGCCGGCGAGCCCCGGTGGCTCCAAAAATGGCGACCAGAGTAATGGGCCAACAACTTGTACCAACTGCTTCACTCAGACCACCCCACTGTGGCGCCGTAATCCCGAGGGTCAGCCTCTCTGTAACGCCTGCGGTCTGTTCCTCAAACTGCATGGAGTGGTCCGTCCGCTGTCGCTGAAGACAGACGTCATCAAGAAGCGAAACCGCAGTAGCGCCAACAGTCTTGCCGTGGGCGTCTCTCGTTCGTCCAAGAAGTCCTCCCGCAAGAACTCTGTTGCGCACGCTTCCATGACGACACCTACTTCGAGCCGCGCACAGAGTGGCACTACGTCCGAATCTCCACCGGCCGTTCCTGGAGGCGCGGCATCGGCCGCTGGCAGGACCGCAGCTGCGATGGGCAAATCTGGCGTGGTCCCCATCGCGGCAGCACCACCCAAGGCTGCTCCTTCTACGAGCGCTGGACAGAGCCGTACCACCGTTCAGGTGGCCCCCAAGCGACAACGGCGTCTGGAGAAAGCCAGTGAGACGGACGGGGCTGATGACAGCAACAAGCCCAGCACTTCGTCTGGCGGCCGGTCCAAGGTGGTTCCACTAGCACCTGCCATGCCTCCCGCAGCGGTGAACCCGGCCAATCATAGCATTGCTGGTGGTCAGGGTGCAAGCCAGGAATGGGAGTGGTTGACCATGAGTTTGTGAGCTACAGCTCTTTCAAGCCTCATAGCTATTTACTTCTTTTCGTTCTTTGCCCTTTGAGACGATTTTTCTTCTCGCCATGACTTAATAGACGTGATGAATTACGCTCAAATCTGAGATCAACAAGACTGTGGGGGTAGTTGCTCGCTAGACGAACAAGGTGTTTGGGAGTGTGACCACGGCCTGACTGACCAACTGCCCCTCACGATTCAGATTTTACGACTATCTTACGACAGAGGGTGCAGCAAACCTGGTTCGTCACGCACAATCGTGGCTGGTATCTTTATGGTTGATATGAGTGATGCGATGCCTCTTTCCTTTGGGTTGCTGTGGCCTCTGTGAGCGGGGGCGATACGTCTTTAGTACAATGCATCCTCCAAGCCTCGATCTCAGTCGCATGTCGGTAACGATTCGACTCTACTCGTGCCAGATCAGCCTCTCGTCCGCGGTGTAGGACCGGGCGATTGGATACACCAAGCTTGTCTACGTTTTTATGTTGATTTGATGATTTCAGTTGCTTGATACAATCGCGTCTGTCCGGACCCCAGTCTTCCTTTTATGTTTGTGTCTTTTGTTTCGCTTTTCGGTTTCTTTGCATGTTCGTCGAGACTTGGGGCCGGGCAGAAGTGCGCATCTCTGTTTGATTGTTTTCACTTTTCTATTCGATGGTTCGTGAGATTATTCTTAATTAGATAGACTATGCCGAGCTTTGTATCGGTCAATATGAAACGATTCGTGACAAGCCTTTCCATGGAGCGCATGCCCGACTATGAAGTCACCCTGCACGCCGTACGCCTGCGTGGCCATGACATCACTCTTTTTGAGCAAATATCTATCTTTTGCAATCGTATATAGCATGCTCACCTAGGTATCAAGCACAAGCATCAAGATCATCCATAGCCACATCCCAATTCATCGCACAAACAGATCTACTCACCATGTCCGGAATGGCAGTATGTCACTCCCCATCCCGAGAACACACCCCCATTGACAGATACCAATATCAATAATTACCAATACCAGGGCGACAATCGCTCGTCCTACGAGGGTAACAGTCCCTACCCTACCCTACCCTTGGGCAGATCTAACACCAAATGACTCGGACAGAAGAAGCCACCGACCCCATCACACCCACCCTGCACAACCCATCCCAGTCCTACGCCGACCACACCAAGGAGTCGGCCAGCAGTGTCGCGGAGAAAATCGCCGAGGCGATGCAGCCGGGTGTGTACTCTCCCTATCCCCGGGTTCTCGGCTGAGCTCAGTCGGGTCGACGTTGACGGGAGGCAGGCGATAACAAGAGCACGACGAGGCTGTTGTCTGATACGCCGACGGGGATGCGGGCCGGGGAGTGGGACGCTTCTGTTGGAGGCGGGGATAGACGGCGGGATCGGGAGAAGGAGGAAGAGGGGACGGGGGTGTTGCAGGCTGCGCAGGAGGCTGTTGCGAAGGCGTTGGGGGGTGGATCGCGGGGTATGTTTTCTTTCCTCGTTTGGGAGGGGAGGTAAGAGGTCTACGTTGCTAATGTTTGTAGGGACTAGTTGAGATGATCCGCTTTGGTTACGGGTGTTTGGGCGATGCGGATAGGGGAGTATGATAAAAGTACGCAGTACGCAATGTCATTCTTTAAGTATTGTGAAGAAGAAGTTCAGCGACACTGTGCCTGGCTATAGCTGTACTCCAGGGCATGCAGAAGTCCCATGACATGAGCCCCAATGGAAAAGGTCACAAAGACATGCCATATCGTATGCGAGTGGCCCCAGAGATCGAAGGCACCCGGGTACAGGCTCTCAGGAACTCTCCTCTACATTGCGTCAGCAATCTTCCCTTGTGGATACAGACAAGCCGCAGAATGCCTACCTCCCAGAAGTAGCAGCCGATGATCAGAAACAGCCCTTCGAGCAGATAATACTGCACGCCTATCTTCCAGAGATAGGGCAGGCCCCAAAGCACGCACGCATGACCGATTGGCGCGAACGCCGAGAGACCGGTGCAGATGAAGCTGCCCAGGCGGAACGAGCGCCACTCAGGACCCGTGAACCGCGGACTAAGGAGGGCCACGGCGGTTACGGAGCTGAAGACCAGGATCTGCAGGCATCGCATATTAGCGTTGAGTTCGCAACTGTGATTATCATATAGGCAGGGCACTGACAAGCGACCAGTAGAAGTATTTCAGCTGCGGGTTACAATAGAAACCGAAATGCAGTCCGCTGACGAAGTCGCCCAGAATGAGCGCGATAATCCCGATATAGTCGAGTTGGAGCCACCGGTGTGCGACGGCTGCGGAGTGGTTCAGCAGGGTGTGGTATGTCGTCGATGCCAGGAGGCAAATTGAAGCCGTGAGAAGCTGCAGCGAGACGATAGACCAGTCGAAGTTGGAGAGGTTCTCATGCCTTGTGCGGATGTACTCGTACAGGATGCCCTGGGACGAGAGCAGGAGAATGCCTGGGATCAGATGCGAGTAGATGTTTCCCGTTTCGTTGTGGCAGTAGAGCCAACTGGCGAGGCAGCTATAGTAGGATCGGCTCTCGGGACGGTATCCTGAAAGGATGAATGGGTTGGGGTCGTACCATGGCGGAAGCTGTTTGATGGTGAGGAGGGTTTGTTTCTTGACAAGTTGCGATTGATCATATCCTCCGCTCAGTGCGATCTCCTTGATCTGTTTGGAGCGGATGATCCGGAAGCGGAGGAGCCCATTGACGACCATCTTGCTGTTGTTTGTCCCTGGAAGAAGCTGTCAGGGGACATACTGACAACATAGGTCATGCTGAGGAAGGATAGAGTATTGTCTAGGGGTTGAAATAATGGCTTAAAGCCTTGGTGGTAAAAATAATAAGAATGATCGTCTCCTCGCATCCTCATTCCTCCTATTGTTGGATCGTCAAGGTCCACTTCTCCTAATACAGAGAACCATGAGGTTATGCCGGCAATTATGATTGGGAGATCACAAAGAAAACAAGCAAAGCAACCACTGCAAGGTCCAAACTCTGATTGGAGAGAAATGACAGGTCAACAAGGCTATTCAGGGGAAAGAATGGCCTGCCGCATGCGAGTTACCACGCCAGTGCTTGGCTGGTAGCAAATATACGCCATAGTCTACAAAGTGTCGAGGCATGATTTCAGTGTTTCTAACCCTTCAGACGACGGTAGGGGACAGCATATGGCTTCTACTGTAAAGCATACGATTGTCTATTGTTCTGTCGGCCATTTCCGCGAGGTAAAATACTGCCTCAGGTTAAACCCACGTGACTACACGTGACTATCCATCAAAAAATCAGATTGGGGATGAAGACATCCCCAAATGTTCATTGGCTCTGACGTCCCCATCACCATATAAATTCTCTGAAAGAAGACTTAGTATCATTCTACGCTCGGGAAGGATACTTGTCGCATAGAAAGCCCCAAATTGAGACCTCGTGCGTGGTTCAAAGCGGAGAGTAAAATTGAGTATCTCGGCCTTTGATTCTGGAACATCTCCCCGTCAACGCATTCATATCTTAGCACCCAAAGTCTATATTCCGGGGTTCTGCCATCATGGGCTCCAGCACGAAAAAGAAGAAGGAAAAGAAGAAGGATTTTCAGGTAAGTCATGCCATCGGCCTGCACCAGAGCATTACTAACGCATTCCCAGAAAACCAAACTGAAAGTCGGCAAAGACAAGGCAAAGCCTGACAACTTCACCGACACAAGTTTTCGCGCAAAAAGTACGCAGCCTGACTCTGGCACATGCAATGTGTACATGGAGATGAAGATGGAGTTGCTAACATTCCATCGCAGCCATCACCCTCAACCAACAATCCCTTCACATCACCGCCCCATCAGCAGACGCCCAATTCTCCCACCATGTCTCCCTGCTTTCTTCCAAATCCGACAACCAGCGCCGCGACTCGCTCGCGCACCTGACCACATCCTTCGTCTCACGGCCAGTAGACTCACCCCTCCCCCAGCCCGTAAGCGTCATCCTCCCCACCTTGCTGCCCCTGATCCTAGACGCAAGCTCCAGCGTCCGCACGCAGCTGCTCAAGCTCCTGCGCGCGCTCCCCGCCCACGACATCCAGGACCACGTCCCCCAGCTCCTGCCTTACATCCGCGCAGGCATGACCCACCTCGCAGCCGACATCCGCGTCTCGGCTGTCGAGGTGCTCTCCTGGCTGGTGGACGTCGCAGGCGCGGAGGTGGTGTCCAGCGCCGGGGGGTGGATCAAGACGCTGAACTGTTTTCTGTCTGTGCTGGGCTGGCACACGGAGGAGTCATCCAAGTGGTCGGGGAGTCGGGCTTCGTTCGGCAAGTCGGGCGCTAAGGGCCAGCCGATGGTTAAGGTGCTGGGCGCGCTGGCGGTGTTCCTGCAGGCGGGGATCGGACGGCCTGATGACGGGATGGATGATTCTTCCGATGCCTCCAACGAGGTGTCAGGGTGGGAGTTCCCGCTGTGTGATGCGGCGCTGCATATGGTTCCGCAGGCGACGGCGCCGTTTGTGCATCTGAATCTGTTTGGACAGCCTCGCGACGAGGAGGGCGAGATGTACGAGACGCGCGAGGATCGGTACCGCGTGTTTGAAAATCGGTTTCTGGGGGCTGTGCAGCGTGGCTTGGAGGGTGCGCGCAGCGAGGGCGGGGAGGTGGGACGGGCTTCGGCGGGTGTGAGTAAGGTACTTAAGGAGGCGATTTCGTATGGGCCGGGGCCGTGAGTGTCCTCGGTTACTCCTGTGGCATCTCGCATATCAAGCATGGTCGGAAAGTTCTGACACCCAACGATCTATTTGATCATCCGAAGCCGCTACACTCTGCTTCGATGATCACTTTCAAAGCCGATGGACAGCACAGTCATACATAGGAATGACCATCCAGACTGGGGCATGTGTTTCCAGGTAGGACATGCCTCGGAACACTGCGCGCGCAGGCGGATACGATATAAATGAGTACTCCTATCGGTGACCTATAACGACTGAAGGTCAGAATCAGGGGTCAGCATGTCATATCAGGCCTGTTACTACATAGACAAGCGAATGGAACTACGTCAGATTCGTTTCTCTAATATCCCGTTCTTCACACCGAGCATCTTCTCTTCCCGACCCCCACCCTCCCCCAAAACCTCCTCTGAACCCGCATCAACCCCCTCCACCGTCCCACTGCTATCGTAAATCTCATCCGCCAGCACGGCCCGCTCAACCAAGCTCTCCCGCGCCGGAAACCAAAGCGACAGAACTACATAGACGATACTCGTGCCCACAAACCCCAACAGCCACCCAAACTGGTACGGATGGATCCCAACCCCGACATCAATGCTGCTGTTCACAGACGCGATCAAACCCGGTAGATTCGGCGCCACGCCAACCAGGAACGCGGCGAGAGCGCGCCAGTTCATCCCCCACACAGAATACCGATACGTCGGGTTCGAGGGCTGATACAGCGCCAGGGTATCGTACTTTCTCCGCTTGACGAGCCAAAAGTCCCAGAGCATGATTGCGCCGATGGGGCCGAGGAAGATGGCGTACGCGGACATGAAGTTCAGGAAGCTTCCTGCGGACGCGAGGATCTTCCAGGGAACGAGACACCACGACAGGATCGCGCAGATGATCTGCCCGCGGCGCAGGTTGATGTACTGCGGTGCGAGCGCGGTCAGGTCGTTGGCGGCGGATATGGAGTTGGCGGAGATGTTGACGCCCAGGGAGGCGAGGGCGAAGGAGAAGGCGGCGAAGAAGCGGCAGGCGCGGCTGGTCCAGTGGCTGATCAGTACGATCGGGTCCCAGGGGATATCGCCGCCGTAGCGCGACTGGCCGGCGGAGGAAGCGGCGATGCCGATGAAGGAGATGAAGGTGAAGACGATGGGGAGCATGGGGATGTAGAGGAGCTGCCATTTGGGGCTGACGCGGGAGTATCGAGAGAAGTCGGACTTGTGTCGGTGTTAGCATATCACTGTTTACCTCTGGGATGCATCACATACCTGATTCACACTGAGCGTGGCATAGTTCCCCAGTACAGACGTCATATTCGCCAGGAACAGCCAGCTATACTTGGACCCCGAAACCGTGGGCTTCTGGTCAAAGATCGCTCCGCCGCCCTCGGCCACGAACGCCCAGATGAGAATCGCCAGCCACGCAATGGGCACAATGATGGATTTGGCGACAAACAGCCATCGGACTTTATTCGGGTGAATGCACAGGAACGGAAATTGCACAATGAAAAAGATCAGGTATCCCACCATCCCGGTGGTCGTGATGCCCTGGTCCTCGGGGATGTCATTTTTCAACGTCAGGAAACTCGGCCAGATGGCGCCGATCATGCACCGCACGGCATTGCCCCCGTTGACATTCTGTATCGCAAACCAGAAGATCGCCAGAATCACGCGGGAGATGATGGCGATGTAGGAGCCCCAGAAGCCCCAGCTCGCGCGGGCGATGACGGGAAACGGGATGTGGTAGATAGCGCCGACGGCACCATTGGCGGCAATGACGAAGGAGATGATGAAGAAGGAGATGGCCACGATGGCGAGAGACTCACGCCAGCTCAGCCCGACAGCGATGATGCTACTGGCGAACTGCCATGTTGCGGCGTTGAAAGCGTCGGAGATCCAGTATGCTATGGTCAGAGTCAGTAAGCCCCAAGACCCAAAAGAATGAATCTGTTGAATCTCACCGACAAAACTCAACGGGCCCCATTTTCGACGATGAAGAGGGACAGGATCCAGATCCAGGTTGGTCCAGCGGGCATTTCCCTCTGCGAAAGCCGACTTGGGCTGGGCGACGCGGAGACGGGGTCGTCTGAATATCATCGTGGGACGATGGAGTATTACAGTAAGCCTAAGAAATGTTCAACAAGAGATCATGTGGAGCACTGGTCAAGACTGAAGAACAGAGAAGAGAAAAAGCAATTAAGTTTGCATGCAGATGGCTTATCAAGGGAGGGGTGATGCAACGTCGAAAGTACTCTGCGTCACCATCAATACACAAGTAGAAATATCGTATCGCTGTCTATCAAGTAAACAAGGCCAATGTCATCCATCCACTTTTTGCAGGTTTTTGAACAGAGGAACCTACCTATATATCTATTCCAATCATCAAAACCATGGCAGACTCCCTCGAGATAAGCCAGCTTGCCATGCTGATAAGCCAGCTGAATCCCTGCAGGCCAAGCACCATCGACTTATCAGTTCACCGTCTCATTGGCGAAATTCTCCTTCAGTGTTAACGCCATTGAAAGTCTGATAAGAATCCTATCAGGTCCTTGAAAGAGAACCCAGTGTGGCGATTCGGGCAAATCACTTCGCGTCGCTCATGGTCCATAAGTAGCTACGTAGAGCCATCATTCTGGCAGTGTTGACGGCAGGATAATTGGCGTCATCATTAGATTGTCCTTGCCTCGGTTAGAACAGGACAAGTCCTTTGAAGAAAGTTACTGGAAGGCAATGAGGGGATCATTTAACCCATGTACTTCACACCGAACTAACCCATCAAATAGTGGTTCCTGACTCAAAGGATCAAATTGCCCAATGCCAATGAAGATAGGATACTATGAACACTTCAGTATGGTGGCCAACCATTGACCTGATACGAGTGTTGTTAACAGTGTAAACCGTTCATCTTAGTCTCCAATCTTTCCATTCTTGTACACTAGTTTTGGCCGCTTCATGACGGCATATTGAAACAGGTAGAGATCACGGATTACTCCTTCTCCCCAGGAAGTCTGACCTCCTCCCATCCCCTTCCGTCCCCAACACCAGGCAAACTCCCCACACGCCGGATCCCCTTCCACTCAGTAACATTCATCCACCCAATCTGCTGCAAGCCCCCAAACCCGCCGATCCAATACACCTGCTCCACTACCATCTTCGCCCAGAAGCTCGAATGCGGTGCCCCGGGCTTCCCCGGCAACCAGACACTCGCATCCGGATGCGCGCGCAAATAGCACTCCTCCAGTGCTGCCTCCGTATCCCGATGCACAGGTGTATCAAACGGCTCCACGTGCCCGATCAGTGTGACGCGCGGGAGACCTGCTTCGCTAGGGGGAAACCCGGGCGCGACGGGCTGTGTCTGGTTCAGGTGGTCCCACCAGTCGATTGCGAGGCTGATGTTTGAGCCGGCGGCGGTGTTGCGGAAGGTTGTTGAGACGCGGAGGGCGAGGAGGGTCGGGTTACCGTCGCCGCCATTGCTGACGTCTGCGGGGAGATATTCGTCACAGTCGGCAATGTACTCTGGGAGGCTGATGGGGAGGCCGGCCACGGAGGCCGGCGCGTGGGAGTTGCCGGGGAGCGGGTCGGGGAAGATGGTCGAGACGGTGCCTGTTGTTGAGAGGGCTAGGAGGCGACGGGCCATGAGGGTCGAGGTGAACCAGGATGGTGCTCGCATTGTCTCGGGTTCGCCGACGTGGATGACATCGCTGTGTTGGACATTGTCTTCCGTCGGTATCGACGAAACAGACTGGTCTTTATATTGATCGCTAAGAAGCACCTGGTTGATGGTATTGTCCTGCGATAGAGCGGATGGAATAGCGGTCGCTTGCAGAATATGGCCAACAAGAGCAAGTGCGGAGAAAAGGGTGGCACGACCCATGTTTCCGCGAGAGATAACCTGAAAGGCTAGAGAGGTAGCTGGCTGGCGAGATGCTATGGATGTAGTCTTTCTGTGGAGATATGGATGAGAAAGTAATCTGTAGAAGAGAAGAGGTCGCCCCTTAAATGGCCCTGTTGGTGTCACTAACACATGGCTTTGTGCAGATGACCGAAAGCAGAGAGCGCGTGAGGGGAAGGAGGAGCAACAGGCTACCAGTTATCTAATCTTATCTGATGGGGCTAGTCCTCAGGCAGCTGGGCTCCAACTCAACCTCGGCTATAGAAACTAGAGAGCCTTAATATCAGGTCTACAGTCCTACTATTCTCTAGTTTAGATGGTCTAGCAGGAGAGATGGTGCAGTATAGGTCAAAGAGCAATTATGCATCAGAGTAACCACGATATTCACCACCAGTCCACCACTGGAGTATAACTCTTCAGACTCACTGATCTATTACTCTAGTAAGTCCTTACTATAGTGAATGTTGCCCTTCACAGTACTAGCTACTCTCTTGTTGTTGGCTTCTTCATATGAACTTGCGCATCCCTTTTTCAGCCAACGCACATCTTATATGGGAGTGGAAGTCGCCCGGCATCAAATCCCAGCTCCCCTCAGCGTTAACGGACTGGCCGACTGACCTTCTGCTCCCGGTCCAGCGAAGGAGACAGGTAGGATCAATCCTTCGATTACTTCGCATACCCGTTCCGTCTAATAACCCCGAGCTAGTTGTGTAGAAGAGGGCGGCGCAATAGCATTCATGGGTTCCACGAGGATGAAAACCCTCCATCGCCTCCAGACGATACATCTGGCAGACTTCAATTGAGCTCCATCTCCGTCGGTTGGATCACTTTCGATCGACCACGACAAGAAAATCTCTACTCCGGAGGTCAACCGCTCCTCCCCAGGGGTCTTCGTTATTGGCGAAGCTCTGAAGTCAAGGTGACAAAGAGACAGGCGGCAGCCCAGCACCCGATTCGCATCGCTGGCGTCCCTTTGGTAATTCCTTTCGACAGGGTTTCCCTTCGGCCGGTGCGCCCGAAAGGGCAGATCGAATTCAGTACCGCGGACATAGAACATATGCGACGGTGCGGAAAGTCCATCCAAGGTTTAAGAAGAGAACTGCTAGGGACTTGACCATGGGCGGGGTGCAAAGCGTCCACCAGCCGGCCGTTCTCAAAAATGGCCAACTGTGGTGCTAGAGGTCGGAGTCTCCAGTCCTCCTGACTTCGTACCAGTATGGAGCCCACGGTCTTAATCTGCACAGCCAGTGCAGTCGTGTTGTCCTGCTAACCCCCTCTCAACCTTAAGACGCTCTCTCAAACTGTCGGCGGGTCCACTGCCTCGGCAACGGGACCCACAGAAGGCGTGGACGTTGTTCCAGGAACATTCCATCTCAAGATGGATCGAGTGTAACAATGTCGTCGAGGCGCTGCCGCAGTTGGCCGTCCCAGCTTCATGACCTGCTCGAACCCCTGGTGTTTGGCCGCGCAAACTCGCCCAGCGAACACGGCAGATACGATCGAGTCGGTGGAAGAGGATGGCAACCATGCGGAGGATTGTCTCCGACGCATGCTTGACCAGCTAGCCAGTCGGCTGGGAGTCAAAGATTTGGATGACCTCGAACAGAAATCGAAGCTGGGCCAGGACGTCCGCTTCTGGATTACTCTGCAACAGGGAGGCTCGCCTCTATGATGATCTCCGACACCTGCAATCATATAGCCCCCTACACGAATCGGAGATGGATCTGGACAACTCGATGGAGCGGGGGCGACAGCGGGAAAGATCCCTTTCACGCAATTTTCTCATTACCTCAAAACGCGGGACGAAAGATCACGTCCACACATTACTACCCGGTCCCCAATGGGGGCAAGAAAGAGACATCACAATGAAGTCATGACTTGAGGACATTCCATTTGTCTTCTACCACTGGAACTACACAACCACCGAGTTAAAGCCTCGACGAGCTGCTCGAAAGTGATCAGGCAGAACCAGCACCTCCCAAGCGCAACCAGTGCCTGGTATAAGCCAGAGGAAGATCAGTACTACCAAGAAGACTGGTACTGCCCAGAATCGCCCAAAGCCCGCTTCTACCGAGAAACCCCAGAAAAAGCCTAAGACGACCAAGAAGAGCTTTGTGTGAGTAGTAATCAATAACCAGATCCTTCTATATCTTAATGGTACTGACTGGTAATTACTAGGAACAAGTGTATCTGTGACTGCGAAGCCCATCAAGAGGATAAAGACCTTACCTTCTGGCCACTGACAGGTGAAATGTTTAGTTACTACTCTTAACTAGGGAGAGAGAGCTGAGGATTACTTCCTACGGCCCAGAAGTGGCTGTGGCACTTCTCGTACTCCTCCGGCCAGTCAATGAGGGCATGACAGAACTGTCTATCGATTTCATACGCCGCGTACATCCTCGATTTATGTCAAATGGACAAAGTTAACAGGAGCTCGTGTCCTTGGGGACTGTTGGGCTCTTCATAAGAAACTGGAATGGTATGCCGACACTACAACAAAGGGAGGTATGTTCAAGATATCCAATTAATGTTTCACATGCTTGTTACTTGAACTTTGCGCAGGCTATCTTCCCCGTCCTGCATCTACCAACAACCAACGCCCTTGGGTCCGACAACGGGGTCGTCTGGGGCAGCACTCTTAGCTGGTGGTGATGGGATTGGATTCGGCGGCCCAGGTGACTCAAGCTCACTTCTTGCCGACTATCTATCTGGTGGTGGAGACTACGGCTAACGCGACCGCTGGTCTAGCCCTGTCCGTGCCTGATTTGCTCTTTCTATACTCTTCAAGAGCGTCAACTCTTGGCCGTACTGCGTAGCATCGGTGCCCAGGTGTAGAGATGCCCAAAAGTATTTTTCCGGGCCTTCCGGTTTCACCCGTTGAGTCATGGCTGCCTCAGGCTGCAACCCTGCATTGACTCACCGGTGAAGCCTCAAATCCGAAATTCAATATGTCAGCTGGCTTCAAGATGCGGTGAGTCACTGGGTGGCACCAGGAACTGCTGGTCCTCGAATCTTCCGAGACCAGGCAGCTGCCTCTCACCGAAGAGATCGGGCCATGCCACAAGTCAGCCTAGAATTATAAGAGTACTTAGGTGATTACATTGTAATTGGCTATCCTGGGTGCGTCCAGTGCATCACGGGATGCTGCTGACGGCTAAACAAACATGGGGAACTTGCAAGAATTCTGGGTGAGCCAGTAGGACAACATTGTGACCTAGGATAGATAGATATGCATTCCTTGCCTTGCCAGGAAGGTGGACCGTTCCCAACCACTGCTCCATCCAACAAAATAAAAGAAAGCGGGAGACAAAAAGATATAGATAAACCATGACAAGACCCTTCCTAGCCCGCCACACTCCGTTCGTGTAATAAGACCGACAATAGATGCAGAGAAATGTAGAAATAGGTGATAAAAAAGATGGACTAAGCGGTAGCTCACAGGGGCAGGAGCCCACCCTGGCATACATCGTACATCAGTAGATCTGCTGGTAACAGAGCCACTGTAAACAACAGGTCGAAGACGTAAGAGTTCAACGCAGACAACCGTCTCAAACTCCGAACAACAGCAGGGTATATACACATGACAACCCAGAGATCGTTTTCTCCAAGTGCAGAAAAGAAAAACTCGAGATAAAGTTCGCTGCATGAAAGAACTTTTCCCACCAGTTGCCTGCGTTGTTCACCTCTGCGCCGTCGGCGAAGCCTGAAAAGAACGTCACTCGATCGACGAGATCATATATGAAATAAAGAGAGATATGATGGACTAGGCCATACGCTAAAAGCCACTTTTCCTTTCTACAGAAAAGAAAAAGACAAAAGAGAAAAGAGCCTGGCGGCTGAATGTTTCATCAACAAAGCTAGCCCAAGTACTCCGATCGCACGCTCGGGTTGAGCGCAATCTTCCTCGCTTCACTGCCACAGCAAGCACGCTTCATGCCAGCTGGTCCAGATAAAGGAGCGCTAACAGCCAGGAGACTGAGTTGAGCAGCGGAGAGAGACTGAGGATGTTTCGGATCAGAAAGCGTATCGCCCATGGATCGATCCGAAGCTTTGCCCTCGTTCCGCGCATTGAGGTCCATCAGGTGGCGGACATGGTTCTGCCACAGAAGGTCCTCGGAGCCTGTGCGGCCACGTTTCCGGCATTGTCGCTGAGCCGTCGTTCCTTGCTCGAACGTCTGTGCAGGGCGGGAAATAGCCCCCGACAATTCACAAAGGCTTTGAGCTGCTTCATGAACAACCGGAGTGCCTAGCGAGATATTGGATAAATCTGGGACCTGGCCAACTGCGCCCAAGTAGGTCTCAGGCGAGCTGTAGATGTCACCAAGCGGGCCTTCATCGATAGGAGAGGCGATGGCTAAAGCCTTCCGACCTTCCTTGAGTGAGTTGCTGGTGCATCGGAGCGTTGCCTTCACAGCCAAGCGAGGCTTGGCTGAGGCGCAAGTGCCCATGATGGAGGAGACAGGCGCAGACCCGGAAGAGCAAGATGAGAAACTCGACGATGACAGTGTCGACACATCGGAAATCATCGAATCGGGGGAGGACGCCGAAGATGTCGAGCGGGCCAGAGACGACCTGCGAACCACGGTCGGGTAGCCATCAAACGTGTTAGCCTTTTGGCAAAACGCCAGCGAGGGGCGCTGATCGAGAGTCGACCGCGCCATGCACACATTTTGCACTTGTGACATAGCAGCGCAGATGGAAGCCCGGCGGCCACAGAAGGAGCTAGCACTCGCAGCAGGAGTGGTAGCAATGACCGTCTGAGGCGTCAACTGAGGCGTTGGCAGCATAGGTGGTCGTGGCATGGAGGGAAGAGACGATGCTCCAGTAGACATGGGCGAGAACCGCTGATACGCCGATCCCTGATTGTAGATGGAAGGCGGGCTGCGGTGCTCACCTGTCGACGGGGAACGAGGAGAAGGTGAGTCCGATACAAGGCCCGATTCGAATCCTACCATACTAGAGGATGTGGAAGGCTCTACGTCCACCGTGTCCAGTTCAGGGGTGAGCTTGGGGATGACCGTTCGCCAGCACAGGCCTTCCCCGGTGAAAGGCCCACCAGCTCCCGGAGTGTACTTCAGGACGATGTCCGTCCAACGCTGAAAGGTGGCTTCGGTAACGTGAAGTCTCCAACCAATCGCTTCAAGGAACATCAACTCATTCTGATTGATTTCCGCTGTGTTCAAGCCGGAGATCTTGCTCCAAGCACGGGCAGAGTAGTTGCGATCCTGAAGGTACTTTGACGCAAGGATCAAAGCGGCAAGGAACATGCGACGGCCACATTGCATGGCGCGGCAGACCGGTTTGGTCCGGGGTTGTTGTTCCTGTTCTGAATCGTAGCGAGGCACGTGCTCTTTGATCTTGATCAAATAATACAGGGCAACCTGCAGAGTGCTGTAGCTGGTGCGCGACCGACGGAGAGTCTCCTGAATGAAAGTGCGAAGGGGCAAAACACCTTTGCAGCCTGTGGCAGAGTCGCTGCGAGATGCAACCGCAGACAAGGGCCAGATTATCTCCACAATCTGCGAGGCGGTGTCTTCGTGGGCGAGAGCATTTAGCTTTAGAAAAGATGGAAATCAAGAACAAGAAACATTCACTCACCGACGAGATTGTCAACAAAGTTGACCTTCCGATCCGACTGTCGCAAAAGGCACGGCGGAGGTCGGGCACTACTGACGCCGCTGGACTGAGCCATGCAGCTGTTGGTGCGCCGAGGATGCCTCCGCAGCTCAGGCGCGACCGCCGCATCGGTAGCTTTGGGCAACACACCCCTCACACCGCCATGTGAGCTAGTCGCAGAGGTCAAGATTCTTCCAGCCACCTGGTATTCGCCGTCATTTTCCCAGATTACATCCACCGGGTTCGTAGAAGTCGACGAGATGGAACTCTGGTTGGATACACAATCCAAGGAAAAGACGGAAGAAGATGAGGAAGACGCCGAGGAGGAGATCGACGAAGCATAAGGATGCGCATAGGGCGCTTTGTATTGAATGCTCGGGTTTGAGTCCCTCAAACCCAAGACGTCCATCCCTGTCATATTCGGGATAATCAAAACCGTACAACCTACCCACCACTATCCGAAATCAGAAGCAGTCTCGGTTGGTTATACGATCCTCGGAACCGAATATTATAAATAAGGGATGGGCGATTTGAACCGTGATATTGTCAAAAAACCGTTGCGCAAATAACCGTTAACGAGGTACCAGTAAGACAGATACCGTCTTTTTGTTCACAGGCGACGGCGTGCCTTAGTTGTGAGAGATCGCCAGCTTGTCAAGGAAAAGGTGGCGACGAGGGAGGAGAAGGGGTTAGGGATTCAGAGTAGGTATAGACGTCGAAGATATTAGGAGTCGGAAGAGGTCAAGGTGTAATTGTAGCGGGATAGATGAGGGTGTTCAACGTCCACGAGTCCGATCACCGTTCGTAGAGTCCGTAGTAGATCAAAAGCCGAGATCACCTTTGAGAAGTATGCGTAGGTCGCGATATACCGACATAAGCTTATTTCAAAAAGTGATAGATACTGAAAAGGTCTGCTGTTTAAACAAACATAACAGTGTTGTCGGAGGCTTGAAGATCTGTGGCTGAGGATTCTGCAAAGCTGGCGATCGGAACAGGAGAGATCGAGTAAACAGGGTACATCTTGATCATCAAAAGGATGTGAAAGAGGCTATATGAAGGTGCCGATAGAACGGCGGACTGACCAACAAGCAGGCAGTACCAGTGGAGGACTGATGCTTGTCCAGGCAGTCAGCTGTTTATCGGGTGGCTAAAAAGGACGGAGGGTTCGGCGGGATGAGTCGTGAGGCTCGACTAGGCTGAGGCGACAAAGAACAGTCAGCAACCGATCGTTTAAGTCAGAGACGATCTCATTTATTTTTGAATTTAGAAATGGTGCGATCCGAAGTATGACTCTTCCCAAGAAGTAAAAACCCAGCAGGCGGGAACCGAGGAAACGCTGCCTGATGTCTACCTATTCTTGTGGAGGGCGGAGCAAATACTAAGGGTAGGCAGAGCAGTGACTAACTAACCTGGGGAGGGGGCCAGTCCAAGGGAAAAGATGAATCAGATGGAAAGAGAGAAATGCGGCGACTTCCGGTCAAGTTTCGAAAGAGCCCATGAACAAGGAAAGGGGATATTGGAGGGAAGATGGGGGAAATAACGTTGAATGGCGAAAAAGGAATCAGAAGATTTTGGTTACTCACATCCGTCTGTACCTGTGGCAAGACACTCAGGTGGCGGAATTGGAGGGAGTCAAAGAGCGGATGCAGGGACCACGCTTTTTTTTGCCAACGAAGGCGAAAAAAAACGAAATGAGCGGAGAGTAAGTAGATCGTACTGATACAAGCAATAAAGAGATGAGTACAGAAGATTATATCAAAAGGAGCAGAACAGCAAAACTCTAACAGAAGGAAGAAGGGACGTCTTCACCCCGTCTTGCGAAAGAGTCGTCAGTAGTAGTAGGAGTAGATAGACAGGAAGCGGGCGACTTGACAGTTGTTAAGGTAATCAGGGCGCGCTCGGGACTGGGCTGGACGGATGCGGATGTGTATGTATGACTCCTCAGCCAGCTTCCGAGATAGGGGATGCTCTGTAGCCTTTGGTCCACCGTTACGGAGAATAGGAGATACTCGACAACTCGCCTTTCAAATATTCTACTATTGCTCTGGTATATTTTGATATTATCTTAATGAAGTTGATAGTCCAATGTTCTATACTCTTCAATAGGTGAATACTTTAGGATTCTACCTAGGATACTAACAGGTGAGCATGCAACACCATCAAGTTCACTCGGAGCTTCTATTAAAGGTAGCGTTCAGCTTGTATACCTCTCTTAAACCATATAAATAGATAAAGATTATTGATTCTCAGCAGCCTTGATCTCTTAAACTTATATTATTATCAAAATCTATTAGATTTAGCAGTGAAGACGATCCTCTTCTGTGGTAGATACCTGCTCAGTGAGTATATCTGCTTCGTACAGTGGACCTGTGGACTAGCCTTATGATCATTATAATGAACATTTATTATGAACTTACGATTGCAACTAGCACTAGTCTATGGAGTACGTTTGCTGGCAAGAAGTGTCGTCAGGATATCATGAATTCGCGATATCGGCTAGGTAAATGACAGGATTCGAATAAGTTTCTCCACGTTTCTAACCATGCACAATGAAGGCGAAATGAATCATCACTATAGGCCACCGTGGGATAAACCTCGCTGCTAACTAAACCTGGTGGGCCACAAACTGCATGACTGGCTGCCCCCGAGAGTGAGGGTAATAAGATTCCCTATCCGGTTTGATTCCGCCGCTCCTTCACAACGGGTCCAGAGTTCTTGGTGGTCAGCCAACCAACCACCTCGGACTGTTTTTGCTCCCAGCCCACGCCACCTTTTGGTCAGGATTTGGCGCTGCTCCCAAAGGCAGTGACACATCCTAAATCCATGGTTCGAGCTGGTGTGATTGACTCCATGGAGTCTCTCCTCGGAGGAAAATTGTTCGAGGCAGAAGGCAAGAGATCATACTTCTTTGTCTGCCTTCGTCTTGAGTCGCGATGGTCATGAGCGCTTCTGCCTCCGTACTCGTACAGAGACAAATATTGACTGCTTGTTGGATTCGACAGACAACATCGTAACATGAAGCAGGGAGACAACATGACAACTGTACTTGTGGAACCATCATGGACAGAAACTCTAGGCAGCAGAAAACCACCACTGGTGCACAAGAATCCTCCTCTCCACCATCATGAGTAATGAATATTATCACCGTGTCGCACTTAAGGATCACCTGAGCTGACAACCACAATATTGTCTGTTTTGAAATAGGCAGCTCATCTCTGCCTGTTGCTTTTCATTCTATGCTCGATTACTCGACTATTGCAAGGGGGACAATGAGAGTGGATAAGCCACGGGGGAATTACATGAGTAGTGCAATAAGCTGTTGTCCCACAACAACTGACACAACACATTAAAATTAATTAATGACCACCCGATCATGCAGATCCAAAAACAGAGTAGATACTGTACCCATCAAACTATTCCTTCCGCGCGATCCTCCAGTCTCAGATCCAGATCAATACTTCCCGGATATGTCATGCTGCGCAAGGCTGAGCATAATAATGATGGAGATTCAATAATAATAGTAGCATCTCCTTGATCCTCAGCCCACCTCTAGCAAATCTCAAAAATAGTCCGGAGGTCAAGCGCTGTGCCTCAGTCGGCTGCGTCATGACTCATACCGTCATCATCGTCTTCGCCACCAAATCCTACGCCCTATTCCCAGTACGGGTTAGTGCCGCTCCGAAAACAGTACCGTGGAGAGGGGGCTGGAAGCCTGAGGCAGCATCCAATCCCACACGGAGTATTTTCTGGCGATGAATTCACTTTGCCTCGATTGGTCGGTGGAGAACGGGCGTACCTGCCATGAGCGGTTAGACTGGGTTTCTGAGTTGGTCTCCAATGTAGATGGTGAGAGCGCTAGAAAGTCATCGTCACTGGCCTGGAGGGAACCATGAGAACAGTCGACTCTGGTGTACTACTAGATTCGAGTAAAAGATAGCTCAAGCTATTCTGTAGATGTATCATAAACAGGTAGATAACCCTCAGAAGGGAGAAAGCTTATTAAATCCCTCAGCATTCACAAGGTTCACACAGAGGGCTCAATACTAATGAATATATTATGTATATTCGCAATCAAGTTTACCACGCCAGCTATCTTTGTACCCTAACTACAACAAATGTCCCGAGCGAGGACTCCAACAACCTGGGTCTATCGAGTAGCCGGCAGAAAACCCAAACTCACGGCCGAATTTCGCTCAACCAGACAGCCTAGATTTGGCCCAGGGAAAGGAGGGATGGCACTGATTAGGAATCATGCATAGAGATGCATGCACGTGTATGTACTTGTTGATTGCTACTCCGGATGAGAACCTAGAACGAAGGGTCGGTACTTTGCGCACACAGCTTCATTGGGCACACAGCTTCATTGGGCCAACTGCCATGCAGCTAGACACCTTTTCTGAACTCAAAATGCTACAGGCCACAAAAATATAGTTGGAGCAAGGAGTCGGGGTCTATCGAGTTCGATCACCGTCCACCTACGTGTACATAGAGGGCACATGGGAAATCATATTTCTATCATCCACTATGCGACATGCGAGCAAACCTTAAACGTTCATATGCTGTATGAAGATCATTACTTGATTATGATCTACACAGTAGAGCATACCAGAGAACTAATGATTTCTTTCAAGGTCCCGACCAGGAGATTGATTTCTTCCTCTGATGTCCTGGTCAGCAAGTCCCCAGAGATTTCCAAGTGCAAACTCACCAGTATTGTAATGCAGCATGCTGAACCGTACCACGCCGTCTTCGACGTCCTCCAAGCCTACGATATCGTTTAACAGCCGGTGACTGTGCATATGTCCATGGCGGAAACAAAACCGCGTTCGCAGCTCCACTACTTCGATAACCTTTGAGCTCTTGATGCCTTGCACTGTGAAACTGATTACCGGGACGCGAAGCTCCTTGCTTGCTGATGGTTCCCCATAGATTGTAATCTGATCCTCGCTTCTGAGACAGTCAAGCAGTATCGCCTGTAGTTTCTCTTCATGAGAGGCGATCTTGTCCATGTAGCTGAGGGATTGGGTCCAAGGTATTCAAGCACCGCAGGAATACTCTGTATCGCTTCGTAGCTGGCGGATGCTAGATTGAGCTTCAAGTCCAGCGTGTCTGTGCCTTTGAAGAAATGGCCAAGACTGTCGATCTGATTATGAATCCGAGACGAGACGTATAACTGAGCAATGTGCGGCCCGTAGACTTTGTACTGAGAGAACGCCTGGTGGAAAGAACTGAGCACTCTTCCGCTGGAGCTACATTCGCCAACTTACATAAATATCGACATCGAGATCCTTCACATCTACCTGACGATGCGGGCGCAAGGGCAACCCCATCCACGCAGAGGAGAGCCTAATGAAAGAAGCATATGAGCACCTGGCAAGAAAAAGCCACCATCAAAACTCACTCGTGGATACTGATGGACGAGCTTCGCAATCTCCTTGACCTTCGTGATTGTCCCCGTGATGTTCGAAGCATGTGGGCAAGCAACGAGCCTCGTCTTCTCGGAGAGCAACTGGCTCAGCTCATCCAAATCACAAACAGGGTTTCTTGGGTCCGATGCCGACCACCACTTCACCTGCAAGCCCAGTCGGCCGGCGATCCGAACCTAGGGGGCTATATTAGCTTCGTGGTTCAACTTCGAGAGCACCAGCTCATCGCCGGGTTGGAACTGGAGCGCGGTCGAAAGGTTGTGCAAGAGCTGAGTTGTTGATATACCTAGGCAGATCTGAAGTAATGGAGTCAGAGCAAGCCACTGCTACCAGGGTCAAAGAACACACTTCATCAGGATTCGCATTGATAAACTCCGCCGCCGCCTCGTAGCCCTTAGTAAATGCGGCGGTGGCTGCCCGAGATATACCATACGTCGCTCCCAATTGAACATTGGTGGTAGAGAGGTAACATGTAATCCTGCCCTGGGCATCAGACCGGGTTCAAGCGATATCACAAATGACTCACGATTCAATCACAGTGTCCAAAACCTGACTGCCTCCTGTCGACGGCAGTTTGGTCAACGACTCGCTTGCGATACCGTGCTTACAAGACAAGGTCGAGTCAAAACAAACCTGCATTATCGAGGAACACCTGCTCTGCATTCAAGGCAGGAAAACGAGTCCTAACCCGTGCAATATCAAATTCCGAAGCCATCTCTGCCGATCCGATGACAGATGAAACTTGGAATAAGGCAGAATCAGACCTAGCCACCATTGATAAGGTGATGAAACCGCGTCAATGGCTTCTGCAAGAGGGGTAACACCCCGCTGCATAGCCGATGGCACCAAAGCACCAAAGCATGCCCAATTCGTAGCGCGATACTTCCGTAGCACCTGGTCCACAGTGCAAGATTCTCAACTTTCGAAGAAAGAGATCTAAATATGCAAGTAAAATGCATTGCTTCCAACGGGGGTATAGTTATGCAACAACACAAGAGCCCAGGAACCAGTCGCAGCGAACCAACGAACAGCAAGGAACACCGGCAATGAAATTAAAATAGACCCTGCAAGACAAGACCAAAAGATCAAAGCCATTAACGCCAAACCAGCAAACCATCACCTAGAGCGAACCCCCGCAGCCCCCGAAGCCCCCGGCGCATGCGCAGCATCATGCACCACACACAGGAGATACTTCCTATCCGGCACGACCACGATCTCGTGTTTCTTAGTCCTCAGCCGGAGCAGCTTAACCTCATCGTCCTCCTCCCTGTCCACACCCTCCGTCCTCGCATCGTCTCTCGCCGCTCCATCTCCCACCCCAGCCGACCCGTTCAGCCCCGTCTGATAGCTATCCCTGTCCTCCGCGCGCGGACATGACAGCGTCATCCCCAGCTCCGATGCGCTCGAGACGAAAGCAAAAATCCGCGCCGCTAGAGCTTCCGCCTGAGACGGCTGGTATGGCTTCTGGGCGGTAGGGGCTGGTACTGTGCTTGCGCCGGCGGGCGAAGAAGGATCCAATGACTCCGCAGGAGGGGTAGTAGTATTGTTTGCGTCGTCCGTTGCTGGCGGTGTTTGCGTCACGCTCGTAGTGGTATTCCTCGGCGGTGTTGAGGCGACGAGTCCGGTGCTTTGGATTATGGATCCGTCTTTGCGGGAAAGGATGAAGGTGGATTGTACGCCAGGGCGTGATGTAAGATGTGAAAGGAGAGCTGTGACATGTTGTGGGATCTGTGTGGTCTAGGTTTCGTTAATCGGTATTAGAACGTTGAATGTGTGGTTTGATCAGGGACAGGAAGTATCCTACTGATGTTGCGTATGCCATTTTCGAATAAATGATGAGTGGAGAGGAATGAATCGGGTTTGTTTTGGGTGAGGGGGAAAAGGAAAGGTGATGGTGGTTGCGTTGGATCCGTGCGGTTTCTTGCTTCACCTGACCTTGATAACAATCTGCCAGCTCAGAGGTCGCGCACTGGTGAAGGACTGCCAATTCTTGTTTGTTGTTGAGACTTGAAGCTACTCAACTTGCAATCTAGATGGTCAACAACATCGGCATCAAAATAGGACTCGGATGACTAAGCGGTATCGGGCAGAAGTTAGAACAATCACAATATTTCCACATTGCCTCAAGGGGTCCATCTAGTGCTCGATTATCATTACGATAGATTAATTAATATTACGATTGCAAACTGCTCAAGAAATATCCAAGCTATGTTCAATTTTGGGAATCTAACGGAAATTGGAAGCAAACTGACTTATGGACATGTCAAAACAAAACAAAATGGTATCACTGCGGTGCAATAACAACAAGCAGGAGAAATAGAGTGGCAAGGCAGGTTTCCAAAGGCAGTCCAGGGAAGTCTGGAAAGAACGTAATTTACGGACTGCATATCAAGTCAGTTGTGGCCATGCAATCAGCTGAACCACCATGTAACAAAGGAAAGAAGTGCAAGCGACTGTGCCACTAAAAGAAAACCTCCCTATGCAGACGAGAAAAGAAAAACCAGGTGAAACGCTTAAAGGCGGCCATTCGACAGCCTATCGGAACCTGGCTTGTCCGATAAACAAGTGAATTCAAGGTCTTCGATCATGTCCTCAAGCTCTCTGACACTGACACTGTCATCACTTTGATAATCGCTTCGCAGACTCGAGCCAGGGCTGTCAATCCAGCTTTCCGGGCGACGAATGGATTTTTTCATGCGTGATCGTCTTCCATTTACTACTGCGCGACCATACAGTTTGGAAGATCGATCCGTCGACGACGGAGAAGACCTTTCCACACTTGAAGAACTTGCAGAGACGGAAAGCGATGTCGTTGAACCGCGAAGCAGGGCATTCGTATTGTGCTTGATACCGACATCCAAAGCCGCAAAAAGGGCCGCCTGAAGGATCCGGTTCTGGCGCTCCAGCTGTTCAATGCGTCCTTCAAGAGAATTGAGAGAGTGGGCAGCTTTGTCACGCCTATTGCGATGGTCGTGAGAATGGTACGGACTCGATGAGTCCAGCGATGGTGAAGACGTCTTCTCCGAAATGCGGCTTCTTTGCATTCGCGGCGTCAAGGGCCCGGCACGATCTGGGATTCCGGACCTCTTCGGACCACGCTGTCTGCTCAGACAAATGTCACTCGACTTTCTTGGGGCTACCTTCGTTTGTCGGCATCTGCCGGATCCTTGGCGTAGCTCATACTTGGATGTACCTTTGTCCATGCACTCATCATCTGAAGAAGGGAGCGGAGACCCGGCTCGGTTCGAAGTGTTCTGTTCTCTACCCACCAATCCGTGAAGGACATCGATGCTCCGCGTCCTGTTACTTCGGTGCAACGTATGGCCCCTGTTTGAAGTGGGAAGAGATAGCCCTTTCCTCTCTGTCGATGCTGCCATGATATCTGTGGACGAGCTGCCATACCGCCTGCTGAATGGCAGTTGTTCCGCAGACTGCACAAGTGGTGGAGCGGGAGGTGGGGAAAGAGGAGGCGACAAAGGAGCGGACGGAGTTGCTTCCTTTCGGATTGATATGTTTTCTCGAGGTCCGTTTTCGTCTCCAGTCCGCAATTCATGACCGGGCCCGGAGCTCTTTCGAGATGCTGGTGGATTGATTCCATCGCCCTTTCTCGCCTCACGAGGAGTTTCTGGCGCATCGGGGCTGATACGACTTGTCATCATGTCTCTGAACTTGAGTGAACGCACTCTCTCCGCCCGATTGTGTCCCATTTTCCCAGAAGACTCTGGCTGATTGTGCGGTGTCTCCCTGACAGTGTTACCCTGCTCGCTAGCGGGCGTGTCTTCCCCAACCAAACACAACTGAGGGAGTACAGATTGTGTATTCGAGCGACAGTCTTCGGCGTCTACGCGATTCTTAAAAGTGGTGGTTGGAAAGGCGTCCGAGTGGTTGCGATCCATCCGAGTTGCTGCTTTGCTGACCGGGGTGCCATGGTGGCGAACAGTGTTGAGAGCAGGAGGCCGCTCGGGCAGTGATGGCAGAGGTCTCAAGGGCGCTGGCAGAGGGAACGAGTCTATGGTGCCTGTTGGTAACGATGCAGGACGGCGTGTATTGTTCAACTGGGGAAATTCCGAATGTATTGGACTCATCGCCGGTTCGCTACAGGGTTTTGCCAGTCGCGTTGTCGACACCTTGCCTGAGTGGTATGATTTTTGAGGCTCGCCCTGACATTCCGAAGGGCCTTTGGCCGAATTTTTGAGGTTGTCTGTCTTCCTTTTCAAGGTGACAGGTGCTGGAATCTGTGGCCTGTCGGAGGAATTGGCAGAAACTGGCGTATCTTTGCCTGCTATTCGATTGTTGGGGATGCGCCAAGCTCCCTTGCTTGAAACACGAGGAGGCATTGTGTCAGGGAAGAGCTTCAACGACTGAGTGACCGGACTTGGCAGATCTCTAGGAACGGCTGTTGCTCCTGACGTTGGGGGTTTGGGTAACTGTGCAGAGTTGTTCTGATTTTCAACAGAATCCAGAGTCTACCAATGCATTTGTTAGCATCTGCCACCAGAGCTTCTATACGCATATAAATCTGCTCAATGCACTTACCTGAGATTTGCCATCTTTCGGTTCATCGCACGCTACACCATTTTCCGGAATCAGGGTAGGAGAAATATGACCTTTGTCGTTCGTGGGAACATGTCTAGTGTTCACTGGCGATGGACCACCTTGACCTTCCATACGCCGTTCCTTGGGTTTAAGCTGAGATGCTGCACCGCGGAGGTGACGGGAATCCTGGCCTTCGATCTGCCCGTCGCTGGTAGTGTTCGCCGGCGGCTGGTATGGCGGTGGGTGAGCGTCATCAAAGTGAAGTGGGAAAGACACTGCCGCCTCAACTATGGACGTCAAATTGCCGAGATCTAGTGGCGACGGCTCGGGGTCTCTGTGGTGTTGCGTATCCGACACTTCGAGAGGATTTTCAAGCCACGGCTGGCCTATCTTTTCAACGTCTCGCTGAGAGCTCGATCGGAAGCTAAAGTTTGACGCGGACCTCGAGCCCGACATCGCCGAGTCAAGGCTTTTCTTTGCAGCTGAGGCTGACAAACTGAGAAACCCCTCTTGCTGGAGGACAAGGAGATGACGGGACGTCTCCTCAGCTTTGGTCTTGGGGTCCATTGGTTTCCACTGGAGCTGCGCCAGCTGCCGAAGACGCCGCTGGCCGGCCTTTAGTAGTTCGCGCGCTCCCGTAACTTGCGAAGCGGGAGTTGTCGAAGGTGATTGAAGGAAGCGATCAAGCTCAGTGATATCCTCGTTCGTCATCTGAACCTCTGGACCTTGTCGCGGTCGATCGTTTTCAGCAGCAGTCAAGTATTGTGTTTGGGATGGAAGAGTTGACATGTTGTGGGATTTGTCCCTTGATAAGGACGAGCTGTGCCGACACGTTGGGACTACTGGACTAGGCGCGACTGTGCCCTCATGCCGTTCGGTCCACTGATGCATAGGGAAGCTTGCCGGATCTCAATGGTCCAGTTCGGTTCAAAAATCGACTGCGGTAAGCAGAAAGAGGTCAACATGAATAGCGGTGAAAAGCTTCGCGAACCTGTCGTACAAGGATATATTCACCCAAGCGGTGTTGAGGCTTAGCCCTAGACGCGTTCGCAATTTTCCTCACAACTTTCAATGCTTGCTTTGTGTGTTTTAGTGGCCGATGAAGGCATGAAAGCGAAGATGCGAGCCACACTTGGGTCTGATATGGGTAGGTAGCATTGACAAAATGACGTATGCAAA